AAATCTAAATTTATGCATAACTACTGGCTACCCAGCCACATACCGTATTCTTATTGGGAGCAGTTACACCACGGTGACACCCCCCCTGTTACCAGGGTACGTGTAACCCCGTTACACACACCATCCCACAAGTCAGCACACACCAAGATTGAATTCACCAACTACGCCTCTTGGCCACATTCATACTTCTACACATAGCGCAAATTTAAGGCACACACCCAAGGGTCACGCTTCTAATATCAGACTTTGCACAGATTCAATTTTCTACCAATTTGCACTATCGACACAAACAATCATAACGTCAACACTTCGATCGCAAATTGGTATCGGTCAGCTCAGTATCAAGCTTAAGTGCTGCCCCTGTGGCAAGTTGGCTTCCGCGCCCATTGTACTTACGCTTTTCAACTGAACATTACCGAGACTAGCATTGGGTTTAACACCGGAATTCTTAGCTGTTCGCAAAAGTTCCAACTGCTTCGAGTTCACGTTCAAACCCAAGATATCAAGTTAATGCACATTCACCAACACCCCAGTGCTTGGCATTACCACTCAACTAGCACACTGCTTTCACACAAGGTCGAAACCACGCATATCTTGCGACATACAGTCGATGTGGTAATTAGCTTCATGACTTCAACTGCAACTCCGGCGAGACCAACACTTCGTCGTCACACAAGTTCAACAACAAGGCATTGATTCTTTCAGAATTGACGAGAGTTCTATCAGAACTTTCCACTGGCCCAGATGATTAGAGTCTCAGCCATTCAAGCGTTGAAGCACATCAGTTTATGCTTCTACTATCGGGCTTCAACCAGCTTACACACTACGACAAAAATTTCTGGGAAGTGTAAGTGCTACGAGAACCGTAGCCTATATGTTTACACTGATTTTTCAATCAAAAACAGAATTTAGCTTGGGGATTTTGGAAGTAAATGAAATCCAATTTTCCCAGCAGCCTATTTCGTCTAAACCAGAGCTTGATTGGCGTCTTTTTGCTGGTTCGATGGAATTTAGGTATTCAAGCCTCATTGCCCGTTTGATATGACTGTAGTACGCCCAGTTGTCGTATCACATTTAAGCTTTTTTTGTGTTGCTTCGATTGTAGACTGACTTGTTTTTCTATCGCCAAACGGAAAATTGGCATATCAATTGTCCCGTCGAAGCGAGGCAACAGAGAGTGGGTGTACTCGCCACACGATTCAAACGAACAAGTGCCGTTTGCTGCTCTTTTGCTGCACATTTCAAGTACACTACGAGTCGGTGTAGTATCAGGCGGGTCTCGTGGAGGACTGCGCTTGTCTTGTTCTGACACTTAATTTATTCGTGGACAAAAGGAAGGCCGAGCCGACGAAAGACTTGACCGTATACTTCGCTCCATTTGTAAATCGTTATCCCAAAAGGAATTTCCGAGAATTGAAGACTTTGTTAATGTGTTTGAGGCAGCCGTCGGTGCTGGAATGGGTTGGACAATTGTTCGCTGAAGTGTCGCTTGGTGAACAAGGCACTGAATCGTCTTGGCACGCTGATCACCAGCTGGATTGCAACCTGAAGTGGTGTTCGGAATTTAGTTTCTAGCAAACAATGCAGCAGCCTGGGACATCAATAGCAGGGAAGGATGTCATGCTGCAAAATCAGCTCGTGCACAGTGTCAAATATTTGTGATATCTATCAATCAAAAGTTCCGTTTTGTCAGCCAATTTAAAGCAGACAAACGTAAGTAGGCAACAAAAGCCTGTAAAGCATGTATATGGATCGTGATATAAGCGCATAAGTGCCTGTAGATGGTGATTGAGTCTGAGCTGGTGATGTCACCATACCGCCGCAGTGCTGCAACCAACAGCAAGATATGCTCGAAAACAAGCTCCAAAACCTTATTTACTAAGTCAGCTTGCTCAAGTCCACTACACGCAAGCTCTTTTAAGTGGAAGATTAGCATATAGCTCCACCATGGCTATCAAAATGCTTACACCCTTACTAATGGACATACATGAGCCGATTGTGCTGCTTCATCGCTTTGTTTGAAAAGCTATAAGTGTTCTGCGTTGCTGCGACAATACAATAATACCCCGACGTTTTCTAATTTTGATATTAACTATGCGTCGACTTTGTCTGCACAATCCGTCTCAGCAAGAACGTCGATCGGCAGATCCACTCAGAAGATACGACGTTAGCCTACCTACAACGATGTATGATGTAGGGGCAAGTGTAGGGATGGCTAATGTATACGCATCATCATTAGCTCGAACGGTCCAATAAATCTAGGTAAAAGCTTCCTGCTTCCCAAGTTGAACACTGTATGTCAAGCACATTTGCCGTTCTACGTAGTACTAGATCATTGGCCTCTAATACCTCCTCGTTCTCCCTATCGCTCCTATCTACTTGTTCTTTTTGCAGATCCTGAGCTTTCGCAATTGCGTCTCAGACAAGCCGAACAGCGGCTGGTCTATTCACAATAAAGTCATCGCCGTGCTGTTCCTCACGACTTCTCATGTCGTCTAGAGATCCCATTGAGTCAGAATTCGCTTTTAACTCTGTGACAGCATTTGAGTCTGACTGTGGTTCTATAGCCCTAGTCCGTCCCCCACTCAAGGTAGAGACCTCGTACATTAGGAAGCAGGTACTCTAGGATGAATACCATAGTTCACATAAAATGACGAGTGACCTGTCGAGACATGCGTGAAATTATTAAACTCAAACTCTGCAAGAGAGCGAGATTCAGCCCATTTGTTGAACGACGAAGTTTAACTACTCAGTACGTCCTTTAGAACTCGAGTCACACACGTCGGTCTCGTCACCAGTACAAATCTCCAAGTAGGAGCCAGAATTCTGTATCACACAGAATATTTGTGACTTCGTGTAAGATGTCTCATATGCATGTGGGAACACCACACTATATTCCTTTTCTTAAAATTCCCCCAAGGAATACAGAAGACACATAGATGCACCTTGATAAAGTGGCTAAGTGTAGCCCCTTACATCATCCCCTCCTTAAAATTAGAAGTACTTCAGTATTTGAGCCGACCTTTTGGATCAGTTCACTTTCCGATCAACAATGAAGCGATCAAATGCACTAGCCAATTTTGAAGGGTGCTTCTTGCAAAGAACAGCTCCAAAACTCTTTGCCATTACCCCCATTCTCAACCGAGATGACTCTTCAAGGATCGTTTCTTTTGTTGGTGTCCGATCAACCATCGTGATGATATAACTCAGCCCATCGCAGCTTAGCTAGACTCTTGGTGGACGTTTGTTCGTCTTGAGAACAAGAACAATATGGTGCGTCGACTTCGCCGAGTCGGCGTTGGCGAAACTCCAAACAATAACTTAGATAAAGCAAGCTCTGGTCGTCGTAGTACTGTCTCCAGCAACACTACTAGCAATTCTCGTAGCTGCGGACCACGTCGGGCATATCAGATTCTAGAGTCTGACAAGATTCCTTATTGTCGTGTTCGATGGATAGCCGTGCCTCCGAACTCTGTAAAAGCGTTGATAGTTTAGCTTCTTCTTTCCACGATGAAGAAGATCGATCGACAATCGTCTCAACCATTCAACGACGCTTTCAACGAAAATAAAATAGCGGACGTGGGGCTGAACGTGAAAACGACCGAGCGACTCTGGAAGTGCAAGCACGGTCATTACGGCTGCCTCAACTGAGGCATTTCAGCAGCATTATTCAACGCGTGAAGATCGCTGCAAGAACCTTTCAAACCTTGTTGCAGAGTGAAAAATCGAAATTGACGTTCGGACCGATTGTTCCGCCCAATGCTCGGCTTAAAACTCCCGTTTTGAACTACGGCTTCAACAAAATCATGAAGAACTTGTTAGACTCCGGAAGGACAAGAAATTTCGCGAACTGGCTCACGAACACCTGCTGTTCTTTATTGATAAATGCTCTGTTCGCGTGGTAAAACGTGGTGAGTAACATTCTTGGCTACAAGAGTTGGAATCAGTAAGGAAGTACTTCTTCGATATCCTATAGCGTTTGTACGCCGAGAAGAATCTTCAGGGTGAAGAGATCGTTGCTCTTTGGTGGGGACATATCATGATCGGCTCGATAATCTACCAAAGGTACAGCAGGATCGTTAGATAAACTCGAGAAATACGACTTTAGCCTCTTCACATATAATGTAGGATTTGTAGGGATGGCTAGGGTATAAGCAGCACCATTGTATTTCAATACCTTGGACAGGCCAGTAAATCTTGGCAAAATCTTCCTCTTCCTATGTTCGATTCTGCGTTTCATGCAGATTCGTCGTGCTAAGTAGTACAAGATCATTGAGCTTACATACTTCGCTGTTCTTCCTTACGCTCTATTCTGCTTGCAGATCCTTAACTTTCGCAATTGCTTTTCGGAAGAGCCGCACAACGGCTTATAACGCCATCGTCGTGCTGTTCCTGACGTCTTGTCATGTCGTATTGAGGTATCATCGAGTCAAATACGCTGTCAACTTTGTGACAGCATTAAGATCTAACTGTGGATCTGTAGCCATAACCCCGCTTCGAAAACAGGTACACTAGGATGAATACCATAGTTCACATAAGATTGCGGGTGGCCTGTCAAAACATGCTTGGAGTTGCTCAATGTAAACTCTGCGAGAGAAAGAAACTCTTTGAATGACTTAGCGTAACTATGCAGTACGTCCTCCAAACCTCGATATAGACGCTCTGTTTGATCGCTAGCTTCAGGGTGTGCCACAGTTAACTTGTACCCTTCAAAAAAGATATCGCGCAATGTTGTCGTAGCTTGCACTCTGATCGTCTGAACATCTTCGTATTGTCTACATGACCCGTGCATGTTTTCACTCCCGGACTTCAAATCATTGTCCAAACGTCTTGACAACGCATCAGTCAAGATGATCGTCTTGCCTGGCTTATAGCGTACAGCAAAGCTTACTCCGAAAACCATCTCTGCGATAAATGAGGAGTCTCTACTTCCGTACGTAGCTAGACATGATCTGTATAGATCGCAAAGCGCTCCTCTCTAAGCAACTTCACACGAAACTTAACCAAATGATACTTTATTGCAAGAATCTCTTTGTTAGGAACTGGATAATTTCGTTCCGCTGGATTCTCATTTAGCGTTTTTCTTAAAAGAGTCGTTCGGGGTTGCATTAACTCTGCATAATTGCTCGTGTAATTGTACAAATCGTCGGTAAAGCCCACTCAGCTGTTTCAAACTGTTTGACGCATGATAGCTTTGACTTCCTCCCGGATCAACACGAACGTATTCTTGCCCACGAAACAGCCAAGAACGGGAATTTAGGGTACAGAGAAATGTACCTTTTCATGTTAGCGTAAAGTTTATTCTCTCGCATAACCCGTAAGACTTGACGAAGATGATCAAGACGAACATCGACATCAGACTTCTTACTCGTTCCGTACTATGAAAGAATGTATCGTCAAACTAATTCGGTGCAAATTCTCTCAATGGACAAAGAAGACTCATGACCTTTCTGTTGAAAGTCGCAAGAGCGTTACTTTAACGTTGTGGCATCATTAACCATTTCCACAACATACCACTATATTGAGTGTGGGAGGAAATGAAGTCTAGAATGGGTGTAAATAGGCTGGAAGCGGGAAAAACGTAGTACTGAGAATTGACTGCAGTTAGTGGTGCTTCATTTTCGCACATTCGTATCTTATAGAAACCGTCTATCAGGTCGACCGCAATAGGAGCAGTACTGCCAATCATTCCAGTGAAAAATTTAAACTTGCGTGCGTGGAACTGGAGTCCGGGATGGTATAGTCGCATCGCTCAATTTGTTGAAAGCGTGAACAATGCGCCAGCCACATGTGGCTTTCTTCACACAGAAGGTTGGACTACAATGCGGAGACTTGCTCTCGCGCACATGACAAGCCTTCTGTCGCTGTGTAAATAGCTCGCCAATCGCTGACTTGTACCTTTGGCAACAGCTAGTGCTGAGTATTTCAATCATACCAGGAAGTATGCTCATCTATAGACGAATGCCTCTGTCAAATGGCACCTTGTGTAACGTGGTTTCACGTACCCTGGTATGAAGGGTCTGGATACACTTTAACAAGAAGTCAGTACGTGGCCGAACGGAAAGTAGTTATACATTTAACTAGATTTTTATATAGATAGGAAAACCTATCGATTTTGATATATGCAGCTTCGCCGCAAATAAACCCGAGAAATACAGTGGACTTCTTAAACGGAAGAGTTAATTAGCTTTGTGTCAAGATTGTGATTACTATTGGAGTAAGTGGATTGCAATTTGCTACACTCGTTCCGGGTCTAAGTATAGAACGAAAGTCACCGACCCTAACCAAGCTTCCTCTAAGCGAAAGAGCTAAGGCAGCACCGCTGCAGCAAGCAACGCATCGCTTCGCAAGGATCTGATGCGATAAATGTGCGCCTGAGGTGCATTCAAACAATGAAAATGCTCTGCTACAGCACCTAGAGAAAAAGATGTCGGTATCGACAGCGTTCATGACGCCGCCGTCGACGAGTAATGAATCCTCTCGACCCAGGCCGCTCATGGTGAGCGTTAAGACCTTCGAGGGTCAAAATAGAGAGAATCTCCAGCTCTAGGCGAGAGGGGTCGAGACGGCTATGGCATCCGCCATGCTCCAGAACGAGCAACAGCGCGTGGCGCTGGCTATC